AGGAATAGGGAGAAAGAAATTAAAGACCATCAAGAAGTAAGTAGGTTGTCGCTGGAAACATGCACATTTCTGCGTCTACCAGTGCCGAAGAAGCCAATGTACCCAACGCTGCCGATCACGCTGTGCGTGACACCAAAACAAGAATTGTTTTCGCACGTACGAACTACGTGTGTGGTACGGAAGCGACATAAGACTAGCGACGTGCACACGTTAATGTGTGTCTAGTCGAATTTGGGGAAGATTTAAAGCGTGGAAACGACCATTTGAACTTGTCGTTCTGCTAAGATGGCAGTATATATCGTAGTCTCGAAAAGATGGTCGTCGAACGATCGTCGCGTAACGTATAGGAGAAGCTGTGGTACATGTTACGTGACTGTTGGGTGCCGTAGCTTTTGAATTCACGCGAACCTTAAATCACACGACAAACTGTACTTCACGTTTACCCTTGTTATATTCAACTGGTCTCAGTATGTTAGTACAAGCGAACCACTATTAGAGATTTTACCATTAAGGTCGATGCATACAACTTCAAGTTGCAGGTTTCAATGCTGTATACAAGAATATACCGAGGTTTACAGACGACTTAAAGGATATTTGAATGACTCATATTGGGATACGGCTTAAACCATGTCTACCTAAGACCCAAACTGGAATCTATACGGAAATGTGTAAGCATCTTTTGCCAAATGAAATTGCTATTATTATTATTACTACTATCAGTATTAGAATACCTGTATCCTACTTAATTATGTATATTCCACTACAAGATCGCTTTATTTATTAGCCTATAAGGTCGCCATCGCAGTGCACTCGTTTTTAACAAAGCTATCCTGAAAAAAGTTTCCCTTTTTAAAGAGAGGCAACGGTGATTAAGGAGCATTTAAGTTATAGCTTGGAGAAAGATAAAAAATCTAAAACAGAAACAATTTTATAGACAAAGCACTTACACCTATTATCAATGGCGAGTACGGTTGCGACGCTAGCGCTTCTTGAATTACACACATTTGTCAGGTATCCAAATGCTCCCTGAAGAAAGACATTTTTCCTGATGGTCAGGGCTTTGTAGGTAACATCCTTAGTTATGTTGACTTAAATCATAGGCGAAATAATTGACCCTGAACAATCCTGTGCCCTTGTTATTCCGTGGAAAAAGTTCACAAGAAGGTCGCTACGAGAAAAGACGCTTCTTGAAGATACTCTGTATGGCCGTGATTGAAGCCACTAGCCCATCCGTCTCAGCAACTTTTACGTTATCTACAGAAATAAGTGCTAACGGTATAGTATGCAATAAAAATAAATGCTTTCCGCCTGCTTGGGGCATGTACCGTACGAAGTACACCTGTACGATTCTTTATGAAATGATTAAGTAGCGGCCTGCACGTTAGATATTTTTGCGACACATGTCCACGTAAAGAGCATAACGAGGACGCACTTAACACGTTTTTCTTGCTTTCAACCTAATTAACTATTTTTAATTGGAAAAAAAAAAATGACGAAGGGACTAATGTGCTAGTGTTCACCTCCTAAAGCGTCGGCCATCTGGACAAATTTTAGTACGATAAAGTGTCTTTCTTTGATTGAAAAGGTTCACTAAAAATAGGTTTTTTAGGCCACCACGCGAAACCAAGCAACTTGGAATACAATAATATTTGACACTCGAAAGTTTATGCCTAGTCATACGACGATCTTCATATTGCGATAATTGCTTACATAATATCAAGTAATTTATTTACTTTTGTAAATACACCATATTATAAGAACAAACAATAACACATCATAAAATCAGGGAGAGTATATAAAACGATTTAAATGCTGTGCGTCATATCGGTTATACGAAGCTAGCTAAATGTTTCAGGGTTGTGGGTTGACCGAGTCTATCAGATATCTTGAATACGGTGCCATAGTAATGCACTGTTATTCTGCTTCTTTCTTGTCACTTACACGAAACAGTTTTGTGTATCTTCTTAGCGCCAACACAAGGTGGTAGTACGCTAGGATTTAATTTGTGTCTTACGTCAAAAAAAAAATTGACAATTCGCATTTTTTCCGCCGTTGAATTTTCATTGAATTTTTCAGTGTGGGAACAGGTTACAGCTATAGAAGCCTGCCGGGGTCATGACGATTGTTGGAATACTATTATACCTAGTTTTTATTCATAGTTTTAACATACGTTGAATGCTGAAGGGCAACATGTATCTCTAAATACTTTTCATATATTTTTTTTTTAAATTAATTTATCCTTTCATTTATTAACTGTTCAAATTAAAACAAAAGGTAAAGTGAACTGAGAACAATAGCATAAAGACAATTCTATAGTTTGTCAAACTAATATCGAATGAAACTTTCTCGAATAATGAGGAACATAGTTCTTTATTTATTTAACTTAATTTATTAAGCTAAATAAATAAAGAAAAAATGTTGCTTGCTAAAAATAATAAGCAAGACTAAAAACGGCTTTAAGAACAGTTTAGCATGAAGTCCAATTTTAAAATTGAGTGGACCAGGACTTTCATAAATGTTTTAATATTTAGATAAATAAAAGTTATTTTATTCCTACAAGAACTGTCCTGACTCACTTTTAGGGACCTACACGGCGTACAAACATCCACGAAAAAGCAGAACCCTGTTTCTGCTGCCAAGCTGCTAAACAGTATGTCAGTGAATAAACAAACACGCTAGGATGTTTTTTCTTCGCTAGGATGTAGGACTTCCATAAGGTGTGTACTTGTTGTTGCTACCTGTCTGTTTGATTTAATTCAACTAAATAATGATAGATTAATGAGTAAGCTTCTGTAAATTTCTTATATTCTATATATATATATATATATATAGAACTGTAAGAAAGGTGCAAAATCCTACGAATCTAAGGACTGGATTTAAAATTTTTCAGTTTTATACAAATCACTATATATATATATATATACATAACAAAACACGCATAACAACACGATGTCACTTGTGGGTAACCCTTGTGGGTTGGCTGAAACGAATGTTTGGTCTAGCTAAAATAGGTCAACATCACCATTATTGCATATATGTATTTCTCTTACGAAATTATAGCTATTTTTGCCAACAATGCTAAACACTGCAGCTGAAGATAAACTTCCTTAAAATTAAATATATCCCTTTTTATATGGGATGCTCGAGACGTTGTCATCTATGTTTGCCGCACATTGTCAGGCAGACACCTTCGTCGCTATATTACCATAGGTTCACTTACTGAACCCGTATAGCTACTGAACATACCAGCATTACTATACGACTCATGTGAATCAAAGGAAGTTTCGTCAGTATACACAAGCTTATTGGTTTTCAGGTGGTAATCATAGAAGACCGATATGAAATAGAGACACCGTTTATCCAAACAACATATTTATAATGACGATTGTAATATAAAGCTGATGTTTTGACTAATTATAGCACGTAATGGTCCGGGTTTTAGAAATCCATGTATGGATATACTTCGTTTCATGCTGGGTGTCAACCGTCTGATGGAAGGTCCCAAACGTTTTAGCTTTCGCTTTACTTGGATAAGACTAAAACTCTTGCAAATCGGGATTCGAACTTGAGTCTGTATGAAGATTTAAATAAGTACGATTTAAAGACGATCTAGTTTAAACTATTCCGATAGTTTATAATGTCTGTTACACGTTGTTATGATTTGATGTTTTGTCGTCTATATTATTGATGAGCAAGGCAGAGACAATCTTCAAAACATATTATGGAAGCAAAATTAGTAGGCGGATCTGGAAGTTGAATAATTTTTTTCAATTAAGTGCCGTTGCCAGGCGAAATTTGGCTGATAAATACCCCCAGTCTTCGAAAAATTCATAAGTGGTTGAGCTTACTCCAGAATAGATTAGATCAGAAAAAAAAACAAACATCTTTTAGTTTCGAAAATCAACGCCTAGTTTTTGCAAGGTTTTGCTCCTCGAAGGCCACAGCGCTGTAAAAATTCATTGGTAGGCAGAAAAACCTCTAGTTAGGGCACAGTGTTTCAAGAACGAAAGAAGAAGAGGAGAACGGAGACCGGAGACTTAAAAGTCAGTGAAGAGGTGGCCATACATCGGGACTCGAAAAATAGGAACGCACTGCCGCAATCGAAGAGGTTTTTCGCGAAAGCAGCGTTTGAAGTTAAAGACTTCTGTTTAAAAAAACTGGCTTTTTGCATGTAATGTATTATAGAATTATAACCCAAATACTAAAAATGCAGACGATAGGACGTTCGTGAATTGACTCCAGGTTAGTCTGTAATGCGTTTAATGTATTCGAGGTGCGATTCAATCCGCTTAGAGCCGCCACCGGGAGAGGGATCGGGAGAGAAATCATGGTGTAGCCTTAAAACGAAAGCGAGTTCGGTGTTAGGGTTGATTGGGGTCGAGCGGAAAGAGACTGGGGTACTCGTGTTGAATATGACGGGCCCCTGCTGTTATGAGATACTCGCTGAAAATGAACTAACGAATGCAACCCGCTCACGAGGTTCCTCACGAGACTTTTGAGCCATTAGCGTGGCAACCGAACGCACGCAGCCTGGTTACTTGATGACAATGCTAGAGCTCATCAACATGTCTCAGTTACGTTCTGGATCGAAAAAATGAATATCTAATGTTGGTTTCAACCTGTTTACCCTCGACGTAAGTGCGTACGATTACGAGGCTTGTTCCATGTCCTGAAAAGGGTAAATCTTCGAGAAGTCTAAGGTAAGGCAATTATAGATAAAGCAGTTGTAAGTATATGGCTATCCAGAATCTACCGGACGAGAATACCAAGACAGGTGGTCAAAAAATAGTTTATACTCATCATTCTAATCTGACTAGTTGTTATATTTCAAAATCCGCTGAATTTGCTTATAGCAGCCTCGTATCTTTGAATCGATATTCATTTTATTATTGCGCCAAATAGGATGCCTAATTATTACCTAGTATTAGTGGTATTTTGACGAGTCGAACTCACTTTGGCTGCTTCTGAAGGATCAAACATACGTCCGTGTACCGTTTCAACGAAGATCCACCAAGTGTAAAAGAAGAATCGAGAGTTAATGGTTTCTGGTCTAGGCGGGGCCAAGTCCACCTCTCAGGACCGAGCCCCATTCTCGACCATGTGAAATAAGCTTCATCCCGCTGATGTCCGGTCGTACACGAAAAACATTACTGAAACCCTCTAAAAAATACAAAACAAAAAAACATACGTCGGTGTACGGTTTAAACGTTAGTGACACAATGGAACTTGAATCAAATAAGAAAATTCTACTGCTGCCCATTTCTACATACTATCTTAGGTCAAGCCGGAAGGGAAATTTATTCCAGAAGAATCGATAGGCGACGACAATAATCGATATTTTGCAAATGAATATTTATAAATATTCAGCATGACTTTGCCGCGAAGAGATGGAAAGAAGCTGTTTGAGCCGGAAATCGCTTACGATCAGATGGCACGAAAAACGTTTGAATATCAGCGAGCCGAATGCAGTCTCCTTGAATTTCCGTTTTCTCCCTTCTCCTCTGATGATAGAGCAAAGTTTTTCTATCGTTTTCGGAGTCGGTTGGCCCGCCCTTGCTTCCCGTTCCCAAGGAGTCCCGGTCAATGTTTCCTTGACAATGGCCGACGACTTGACTTAACGCACGGCGTACATCGCACTTTCGCTGCCACGACGTGTCCAGCACTAGTCTCCAGCTGTTATGTCCTAGATGAAGAAAGGCGCAGGTTATCGGTACACATATTGTTAAGAGGCAGACTCTGTCGCACCGCAACGCCACAGCAAAAAACCGTAAAAATAAAGGTTGGTGAAGGGTTAGCAGGATATTGTCCTTTTCACGATTTCAAGCAATGCTTCGAGGTCGGTAGCGGCGTAGATGGTCAACAATATTATTTAGCGGAACTAGCTCTGCCGCAGAAACGTTGGGAAAAACGGGTAGCAAATCTGTTAAGCTGACCATGACTCGCAGCCAAAATTCAAATGTAGCATAAAAAAATTACAATGACGTTGAATTTGCCTCTAATATAGTGTTGGGCCGGGTAAATATCTTCTGGACAACCGAACATGGTAGAAATTAGCCTTATATAAAGATGTGCAAGAAACGGAGAATCTTTTCGAAGGGAACATTCGGTCTGATTTGCAGCAGAGGTATGTAAGACCTCTTTGGCAAAGGACGACTATTCCCTATCTAGTTTTCAATGGACGTAGGTCAGATAAGATATCACCTGATGATAGCTCTGAGTTTGATAACCAGATATTTTAACTGCTAGCACGATGGCATGTACTTCAAATAATGTTTCTTTGCAGTCCATATTAGCTCAATAATAATAATACTTTGTGCCTATAAGTGCACGTTTCTATACCTATGAATACTCTGATATTTTGCGTGAAAGCGTGGACAAAGGTGTACGGAGAAAGACACTGCGGCGGTCATAGCGTGAGAAGATAGCGCGTCTATAATTAAACTAACCGCTCTTTTCGCGGTCGATGATGGTCCTGTCTATATTACCTTAATATAGGACTGCTCAAGTCCTTCCGTATTCACATCTCAAAAACCAAAAAAAGCCGAACGGAAGGTTTCTAAATGAATGTTGTTCTCGCCACTGTCAAAGCCGAGCTCAGCCAATGGATAAGGGTTAATTTTGGTTAGTTGCTATAAAAATCGATACTTAGCTCAAATTCAATTGGATAATAGTGGAAGCATAATTAGATTTGAGATATAATTCATTACTGTTACTTTTAATTCTGTTCCCTTAACGCTTCTTTATGAATAAAATAAGTAATAATCATATTTTACAGGTTATACATATTTTATTTGAATCAGCTTAGACGGACGCCGTGTCGACGGCAATAACTCATGGATTCGGCCGGTAGCTACGTCGTGCAAACCCGTTATGGTGCTTACAAGAGTAATATTTATGTGGATCAAATCAGCGCTGGAAGTTCAGCTGTAGATCTCGTGCACTTCGTGCTAACAGATGTATCAAGTCGAAAATCTTCTAAGGAAGATTGGAAATGCGTCAAGAAGACACCATAGTGTAACAAATATGACGAGGTGCTTTGTCAGGACGATAGTTCATCTGTTCGCGACGATTTACCGTTAACGGAACAATAGATTTTTCGCGCTCATCGCTATAATTTATCGTTGTTTTCGATTAATTTGTTCGAAATATTCTAATATATTCAGCTTATATGGTAAATGTCAACATACTGACCGAACGTATTAGTGAGACTAAAGCTTTGGAAAAGATAAACTTATAGTTAAGAAAGAACGAGCTGATAAGATGGACAAGCTTTTTTTTTCAAGGACAAATGTTCTCTTTGTCCTAATTGGAAGCCTACTCTTTCCTAATGGTGAACTCAAATCTTACCAAACTGCAAACCTATCTTTACGTTTTTTGTAGCTAAGTACAGGACTTACGCAAAAGTTTGGAGTAGCAAAAAAGCTTATTTAAATTACGCCAGTAATAGCATAACAATCCAAAAACCGGTCATAAATGATAATACTTTTAAAACTAATGACTCTTGTGGAGCTTGATTATTGAATTAGGTCTAACACTTTAGTTTAGACGTTGGCCGTCATAAGTCAGCTATTAGACTCTGTCTGAGAAGTCTCACTACAATCAAAACATGTCCCTTTTACGAGCTTCTTTATCTCATTAACGTATAATATCCTACATCCCCCGTATGGAAAAGCTTGCGTGTGAATAGGTCGTCTATAAGTTCAAATTAATGCCTGTCGAAGTGGATTTTAAATTATCTACAATAGCGGGAAAAGGGTTTGTGTGTGTTTGGAGATAAATGTACTTCTCAAGAAACATTTTGTGCCAATCGAACGATTTTCTCCACCGATGTTAATTATAAACTTCACAGTCTATACGAACTAGCGGATTCTAATCGAGCACAAGCTGTTGCTTTATTTCTATTTTAATGCTAGACAAAGATAATATGATCGGTTTGTAAGATGGTAAACTACTATTACAAACAAATTACTATTACTAAACAGCTAGTCTTAGTATGCACCGTCCGACGAAATGTCATTTGAGGACTTCCCTCTTTTTTTTTTTTAATGTTTTTTAGAAACGGTTATCTTTCTCAACGATTTTCTCAAACTGTTTTATAAACTAGACACACCAGCATGATTGAGAAGCTTGGCACAAGTGTCGGTGGCCGTTTACTAAGTTGCGATCACTTCGATCATTTAGGAAGGCTCTGCTGACCTTAGGATCAAAAGAAGACATTCAGTAGAAATGCACTTAAGCTCCAATTACAGCTCATTAATTACTTCGTTTGAAATCTATCAACTTCGCATACAAATCAAGCGGTTTACAAAATCGTGCACAAGAGTCAAGGCACTCAAGCAATCTTCTTTGAAATATCACGGGTTTAGGATAAACCCTAACTTTGTCCCCTTTTTAGCGCCTACGCTACGTACATTTTTATCGTCGGGTGTATTGAATTCTGAAAACGTAGGGCTCCCAAGCATAATAATAAAAACTCACTACTCGGGTCGCACGCATTCAGTAGAAGAAAATGATAGATATAAAATAGGGTGATTGATTAATCGTTCCTAGATAAGGCCATAACAGTGTATCTTAAGTGGACCAGCATCCTCGTGACGTCATCCTTGCCTAAGAATTTTATTGCCCAGGCTCAGGAATTTACAGGCCCATTGTTTATGTGTAATATGAAAGCTGAATATAGTACTTTAGGCAAACGGGTTACTCGAAATAGTATTACAATAAATATATCCACCTAAGGTCAAGAAGGGAAAGAGGTATGAGGATAGGCGCTGCAAGGGGTAGAAAACGCTATTCGTTTCCGCGCTATCTAAGTAGATAGGTACGTGTGAAATCCGCGTTCTATAGACACATTTTCTTTTCTGACACCTAGAACACGAATTGGCTGCAGACAAAGCAATACGTGCCGAATACTGCTGAGACTGAGGTTTGAAATGACGAAGCTGTTCGTCACACAAACGTGCAATGTTAGAAGTTTTACTGACGACTAAAGGGTTCGACCCCATAAATTATAAAATAAACAAGCACAGAAAAGTGCGCTTTCTAAAACGCAGAAAGCTATTGTTGTCGGTAGCATTCGTATTGGTACTACGCTTCCGCTTACAGGTTATATTAGAAATAGCGATTTATAACAAAAGTGTTGTTGCATTCGTAGTAACGTTCGCATGCGTTCCGTCTATTAAACCCCCCTCAATTTCTAACACGGTGCTTCTTCCAATGTTGCCCTGACTGTAGAAGCTATCTCTGAAGCCTCAAAGCCTTTAAGTAGGTTGTTGCTAGTTAACAAAGTTTACAAAGTAAGACGACAAGAAGAAGATCACTTCCCATACGCAAATGAGCAATCTACATTTGTCTTTCGAAAAATGATAAATTATTTTAGACGGAAGACTACGGAAATGGCCATTGATTCGCTTAGCAGCTTACACAGCCGATTGTTTCCGTCTCAGCAAATTCCCTCCGTCTTATTGCTTAATTGAGCCATACATCTGGGACAAACAGTGCCAGGCATGAACATTGAGTCGATACTTTCTCTCTGGAACAAGCTTGAGCTACATGAAGCAGTAAGGGAGAAAGGGATACCGAACTAAGCTGCGACCGAGTTACGACCTAGATAGGCCACAGAAGGCTCATTAAATGGCCTGGTTGTTGTCGACGTCGTTCCCGAACGGTAACCACATTAACATCAATAGTTTTCCGACGCGATGTATTGACCGTTTACGGCCATCATCGCTTTCCGATATAGAACGAAACGGTACTTGGAAGTTGGTATTGGCATAACGAATAGACACAGCTTCGTATATATGGCTGAGTACAAGAATACTTTTGCGGCTAGTCCGATGTTTTGTTGAGATCTTGCTACGAGATTACATAAATCGATTTTAGATAATCCAAGAGTACACGCTGAGTTTGGGTATTTTTGTCGATTTCCACTCAGTTATTAACACCTACGGATACAGCCAGTTATTCCAGCAAGAAGCCTGCTAGGCCTTTTCCTCATACACTAGTGTTAATCTACATTATAGTTTCTATACGGTGATGTCACTATTCGTTTCACAAAATTTCTATCGACTTCTCTTCCTAATTTTGTTTATCCACTAGTTAAAACGGTTAACCGTTGGTCCTTCGTCAATAACAAACGGTTTTTCAGATTGGTACGTACATGCACTTTTTATCTGTATACTTACATGCCTCGTATTCTACGTTCGGAACTGCCGTTAACGTTGTTCTGTTTTGCATCCGTGGATCAGTGTGTATATACTATATGACCTAAATCATAAGCTGTAGTTTCGTTACACTCAGTAGCACACATATGGCCTTTGTTGCGTTCTTTCCGAACCTAGCAGCGTATGCTGGAGTCATAGGTGAATCGCCTCGAAGTTCTCTTCAGTGAGTTGCTTGCTTGAAGTATAATGGCAGCCATTTCAGATCACTATCGTGGTCGTTAAAATTCATCTGTTTATGCAAGACAGTGCTATAACAGTTACTTTAAGTCAAGCTGTAAAGCGTCAAGTCTTTCGGCTGATTTCCTTTCTGTCGGTGATTTCGATGCAGTTAATTGCTTGTCGCGTTGCCCCTTTGTGTTTTTGTCATTCCAATTCGACTTCCTTTTTCTTGCTCGCACTGCCTTCTATGTCCTTGCCCTCCGCTCTCAAGCGCGCGTTTTTCCCATGCAGATCAGTCCGTTCTTTCTTTTGTCCTTTCGGTACCGTTGTCAAGTTACAGTTTCTCTGTCTTACTACTTCGTAGGAATGATCACGACCATGACAACTTTGCCTGGTCTTCCAATCATTGTCATAAAAAAGCTCTTTGAGCTATCATTGCCCTAACTTCCTCTCGACGGCTTAATCTAGTCACCGTCATAAACTGGAACACGAAGAGTTTCTGTTGTGTAGTAACAATGCATTTTTTTCAACTGTGAATTCATTCTGAGGGCTCGGGGTTTGCACAGTCCTCGCCCGCGTGCCCTCGGGGGTGTCAATCCTGGACCCATTTGATTTGCTTTTGAGCGAGCTTTTTTCGGTTGCGCACTTTTCGCACGAATGATTTACTCCCCGCAATTACCCGTAGCATTCGTCGGTAGACGGTCCGATAGTGCTTCCATTATCGCGCAATTGAGTGGTTGAATCGAGCTGAATGGTCGTGGGAGTCGGCGCAGCCACCGGAACCACTGTGGCATAAATTGTGCAGTAGTTGTCAACTCTGCCCGTTTCGACTAGGCGCGTCGCGACATGTCATTCCGCGTCTGTCATCGTGCTGGGATTAAGGGGTGGAACTACCGACGATTTGAGCCGTTCGTTATAATGACACAGCTCATGCCTTGCGAAGCACGCATACGACGAGCAGCAACTGCTACGTTCCAGTATGTAATTATCCCTTCACAACTTACGTATACTTACTTTTACCTCGAGGCTGGCGCATTCATTTCTAATGGCTAACAATTACATAATGAGCTAGTACACGTTCGTAAAATGTAAAAGCTTTCCAGTTCTACCAGTTTTCGTAAACTTCCAGCAGAGATGCTTCGTAAAGTATCGTTAGCAAGTCCACTATATATATATATTGCACTACTATGTATTAATGGTCATTTAACGTTGCATCTGTTAAGCAGAATATTGTGCACAGATTTAAAACAACGGAAGTCTTCCAGAATCCAGCAGCAAGAACACATTTTCACCATAGAAGATCATCGAAATTAAACTTAGCCTGTTTTTGGATCTACACGTCACTAAACCTACGCTGTGTACGCTATGCGCTTGCTAAAGCGAAATGGCAGTCGTGACAATTCTATAGTCCTTAGAAAATGATAGTTTCATTAAACAGAACATCGTCTTTATACCGGTGACAAACGTAAGAAGAAGAGCAACGAAAATCTACCGTCGCCAAATCCTCTGAGACGAATTCGATCCTCGACATTTTGTGGTAGTGACCAAAAAAAACGAATTTGCTTCCATTAGATTCTTCATTATTCATTATTCTTCATTATTGGTAATGGTGCAAGGTAACATTAAGTAGCAATATTAGTAAAGTGTATTTTTACTATCACAATATATTTAATCTGGAAACTCTCCCTCCTTGTCTTGCTTTTTTAAAGAATAAAAATTTGTAAATCTTTATTCTGCACGAAGCATCGGCAAAACTTCAATCAGCGCCCTCTAATTTTCCAGTCAAATTCTTGGCCATTCGATCGATCGATCGATCGACGGTGCAAACGAAGGCCTCTGTATCCGTTTTTAGGGAACAAAGTAACTCATGCATTATTTAAAGATATTAATTATTAGGATTATTATTAAGATTAAAAGATATTAATACTAACTGCTTTTAGGGTGAATTGAAACTATGATATTTGCACAACCATTAATCGACCTCAATGCGGTAGCTCCTGGTGTACGTTTGGTTACGATGGTTAGAGGTCTATCAAACAATTAATTTTTTCTTATCCCTATAGCTTTCCTTCTTCAAAAGTTTTAAGATTAGAAACTACGTCTGCATCACCTTATTAAAGTTTACTTCCAATTGCTACTGCTTTCCAATTAAGACTAAATCAAACAGGGCTTAGATTAGGCTGATCGCAGAAAATGCCCTGTGTTTGGCCTGATGATCACCTTATTTCAAGCACACATAACACTGCAGATAATTTGCTTCTACAAAGCGGAAAATCGCATTTTACTGAAAACAGATAGTAGATTACGATTATACACAACACAGGAATAGGTAGCCCCGCCTCTCATTTAGACGTTTTTGGTGTCTATGCAGTGCGTCAATGGGAAGTTATTGAAAAACTTTTGCTCAAGTTTCATGCTTGTGCCATTCTGCTATGTTTCTATCTATCTAGTTTCATGTTTACTAAGTGATAAAAAAGAGCTCTTTGAGTCTGCAGTTCCAAAAGCTTGACATAACTGTGTCTGAACAAGATGAAGGTGTTCCATTAACTGCTTGGCCTTTGGACGTTCTATATCATTAAATTTTGGTATATGGAGATAAAAGATACATCAAAGATGAACAACCTCAGCAATAGTTAGGGTAAATTATCTCATTTCTAGTACTAACCAGTTTTAACGTAAGACAGCACGGTATGCTTGACTGAAATTAGACCCTTCTACGTTACCAAGCTATAAGTTGTCATGCACGAAATGTAATTACACAAGCCATTGGACGAATGAATATTCTGCCCGCTTTTTTTATAAAAATAAACACATTCTTAAAATAGATATAATAGACCCTATTCTTGAAGTTACATTTCACTTTCCATAAAGATCATGATAATCAGAGTACCGACGAGGTATTTTTCTCAAACCCCCAAAAATGCTAAGGAAAAAGGTAATATTAATCCCAATAAATATCATTATAAAATTAATTTTTAAATATTTGACATATATTATTCTGAACCCAAAAAATAAAGGGAATCAATGTTCTGCTCTTACACATAATGAAAATTAACAACAACATAATAAGTACCATGCGGAACAATATCAATGGAAGAACTAGCTAAAATTATTCCAATAATCCCTCCTATACTTTTCCCTAGAATCTAGTGATGCCTTGATAGTCAAAGGTTTTCTTGCAGAAAGTCTCTACTCGCCTATTTCCGTAATGTTTGGCATGCTGTCCTCTAGCAAGGAACCGATGCGCTTCGTTGATAAGCGGTGCGTGGTCACGTTAGGTCAGCAAAGCCTTGTGTTGACTCGTGCACTAGGCGAGCTCCTACTACGAAGAATCGCAGAACCTTAGCATATTGCGATCTCGAAGAATAGTACAAACAAGCGTGACTCAATCCTGATGCACAGACATGACTCCGTAGATCTATGGAATAACTACTTAATTTCTACTCTGGCACGAAGAAAACACGCAGGGAAAAGGCACGAACTACGCCGATTGCACTGCAACCCTACCAAAGTAATATCACTTAAATAATAATATAGAATATACAGAGGTGGGCAAAGTAGCAATTGTTATGTTTGTTGTATTAGAACAAGTTTATTGCCTAATTGAACTTCTGGCACCATAGTAAAAAACAACTTGTCAATAAAAAATCGGAAACGTGCTGAGAAGATTAGCTACTAATAGGATATGAGTACGACAGGAGGTCAAATACTTTTTTGCGACGTATCTAAATCATTTGCTCAATATATTCAAAATGGTAGAGTTACTTAATAAAAATAACTTCGAACAGCAATTTAAATCGATTTGTATACGGGCGAGAAACTGCATCTTCGAGTCTCCTAGCCAGGGAAACGCTTCTCCAGATGGTTACTGTAATCGGCTATGTCGCAATGAGCGGCAGTAGCGTAATTTTATTGAATAAACATGAACCTGCCTCTTCTGAATCGTTAACTTCAACATTCGAATTATGGATTCCCAGGATGTCTTTCATAATCTTGGCTATGTTACCTCGAATCCTATTACTCACTCAGGTAACGACTAGATGCTCTTCTATGCCTCAACTGGGATAAACCCAGTTAAAGATTTTATGAGAGTGTGATCGTGTATCGTATGCACTTACGTATTGCCTTCTGTGTAAATAGGTAGACTAAGCTAAGATCAAAAAGCGAAAAAAATAATAATGATAGGTGAAAGAACAGTAAATTGTTTTGCTTATTTTTGAGTCGTGGTAAACTGTTATTATATATTGTTTAACTGTTGAAGATAATTACTTCTCACCCGGATGCTGGTCTTCCGTTTCATGATGTACCTACATAAAGCCATTGTTGTTTACTTTGCCAGCCGTCATTTCTTTACCACAGTCGGCTCTTGGTTCCATTCGTTCGTAAAACCAGCTTCAGGATCGAGTCCTAAAAATCAAAGTAGACTAACTAACGCGCATAATTTTATTCAACGAACTTCCGTGCGAGCTCTTCTGTTTGAAAATTCAGCCTTATGATTTTTACTTAACCTCAACCTTTAGGCAATGTTTAGCAAGCTAATCAAATAGAGAGCATCGGCTTCACGTATCACAGACGGGTCGTCAAGACCTTGCTGCAAGACGAGGTCATCTGTGTTTTGCTTCAATATAAAGGGAAACTTAAACGCACATCTCAGTCTACGTCTGCGCTTAATATCAATATTTCGTTTCATCTTGGGCTGGAGGTGTAGTTGAACGCAACAGGTTTTGCCGATTCATTAGGTTCTATAGTCGATGTTCTCCTGTGTCGTATCTTCTACTATAACACCGAGACTGGACCTCGGGACCTTAAAAAGAGGACCTTAAAAAGAGGATTTGTTAACAATGCGCTTTTCTCAAATCAGCGCTTAGCAAGTGACGCTGTTGATTAATCCTGTATATGTGCAACCCTAATTATACGTTGCAAATCGGTTGTGCGGGTTTGTCTGCATGGCAGAATATTTTAGCTTAACTGATACGTAAATGTTTACATGAATGTTTTTTTATTAATTGCTCTTCACATATTTGTTTGCCTAATATTTCTTCTTTAGACACAACGGGAACGCTCATTCAGCTTCATGTTCCCGTTCTAAAAGTCACTAACTTTGCGCTTATATATATATATAGGTTGCGCCTGCCGCAGTTAATTATTAGTCGCGATTGCTCCCTAAAATGAAAAAGAACATTTGGATAAGAGCGATGTTCGGTAAAACGTCGACGCCATTGTGTCGACCTATGCTGCATGCTGTCGCCGTATCGAAGTTAACATTGTATATTGCTCAATTAGGCAAGGAAACGAAATATTATATTATTTCGCTTGATAGGAATGATAAGATTCACGTCGGACGTAAATGTCAGTTGTTAACAGTGACTCACTCCCCTCTTCTGTCTTTGTGATACTTTGCATCCCGGAAGTGATAACACTGCCCTCATTTTTGATAAGAGTGACACGAAAGACATAGCGTGATATGCAAGCTTGCGTTTGAGCGTAACTCTTCTCCGGACTTGACTTATCAAGTTAAATCAACGATATTCGAATTAATTTCTAACCTGAGCGAAGAACTGGGCAGAATAGGCTAGTCCCCTGTATTTAAGCCTCCTTAAATTTATTAGGAGGGTGGGGTTCGGAGAACAGGCTGTTGATTGATAGCTATAATTACAGCAATTAGCCGTCACTACGCTAACACTTACAATATCTACCGTGTAAAAGCGGCAGCTAACAA